GGTAATAGGACTTTCTTTGTGTCAACCAAACTTTCATGTTCAATGTTTTTCGATCCTGGTATTAGGCTGACTTTGTGTGGCTATTGCTTCTTTATCCAGTACTGATTTGGTGCTCTGCTGTCCAATTCACACAAAAAACATGTTGACCCAACAGCATACAAAGGACTTTTAAGTCTCCACAAAGTAGCCAACCACATTCTTTGTATTTGATCTTATTAAGAAGAAGATTTTGAGATATCCATACTTTTCCTTCAAGTGAACTGAATGAGCAATAGGAACAGATGCATATATGTTGCCATTGTGAAGGAGAACACCTTTTAGACTTTTTTTGGAGGAATCAATGAACAATTGCCACTCACTTGGTTCATAGACTGCAGTTCCTAGCATTGGTATTAATTCAATATTGTTGCCATAAACCAGTAAACCTTCTTGTGAAAAGTATGGTATAAACTCTTTCTCACAATTTCTGTACCAGTAAAATGACGTCCCTAGAGAAAGTAAGTTCTTAGCTCAAAGTCTGGACCCCTAAATCATTGAAGAGTCCTTTGGAAGGCCCAAATCTCTTACCAAGTCATTAAGTTCACCTTGTATGAAAAGTTGTGGTTCATCAGACATTTCAAGTTGAAAACAATCACTATCATCATTGCTATTGACATTAGAATCAGATGAAACTGTATCAAGAGTCTTCGGTGGAGTAGGTACGGGTGCATCAGGTCCATGAGCAACAGGTCTTATAGCAGATTGTAGGTTCGGATTAGAAATTTCCTTTTTATTTTGAGTGTTGTAGCTTTGCACATTACATGAGCAAAATTAGCAGTCTTCTCCGTGGTTTCTAGGCTCACTCCAGACCATTGGAATTACAAAAGGGGAAGACTTTTTCTTTCCCTTAGTTCATTGTCTGAACTCTTCGACATAAACAGTGTAAACTTTGTGTGGTTCCCATGATTTGTTCCAAGTTTTATTCCAAAATACGTGTAATATGCTTTTTCACAAATTCTGTTATGTTTTGCCTTTGTTTCTTTACAACAAATTTACCACAAATATTACAGAATATGTTTGGGTTATTTACACAACCTCTTGTTGCCATAAATGCAATGAATGAATAATATTAAAAAGAAAAATAATGCACACACGAACAAATACTATTCAGAAATGAAATGTCATGCAGCCTGTTAACCATTTATATACTAGCTGTGTGTTTCTTGTGGGTTCTAGAACAATCGATAAGACTCTCATGTCATATTCAGTCTAGAGAAATCTATAACCAGTGGTTGTCAACATTTTATGTGTAACAAAATGTGACCCAATTTCAATGAAAATGATTCAATTATGTAAAAGTACATATGACATTTTGTGAAAAATCTGTATGTGATGGAGAAAAATGGATATCATTTTCAGATTCAGTGAACAGGAATTACTGTAGAACATGTAAAAATTTCAAGACAATAAAGCCATCGCAGGCCTGTGTTATTTATTACTAATGAAAAGTTATATTTTATACATCCAATGAAGTTTAACTTATTGTATATTTAGTAACATATTTATCTTCGTGATTTCCTTTTGGTCATTGAAGTAGTTATATAAGCTGGTAAAAAAAATATGTAAATCTCACATGATCAATAATTATATGCCAAATATCATTGCAAAAAGTACTATGTTTCATCATGCATGTGAGTGCTACTTATTACTATGTGATTTCAAGGAGTAGAAAAATATTTGTTGTATTTAAAAAAAAAAAATACAAAAACAAATCATTAATCATGAGAAACAAAAATTACAACATCTCTAATTACCTGAGAAATATTTTTAAAGTTACTATATTCAACCTTAAAGTGTGTCTTTACTAGACCAATCCATGAAAACTTTTGTTACAAATTATTGGCAAGTTGTTTACCTAGTTTTAAGGTTAGCTTTTCCCATTTTAAAAGTTAGTTTTCTCTATAAATAGCTTGATTGCCCAGTATGAGTGAACCGACAATATTTGACATCCTTATAAGCTACTCTTCACAAGAAATTGGAAAAACTAATGTTCTACCATTTAATGTCATTATTCTTATGTAGCTATTTTTTGATATATATATTGCACAGAAAACTTGTTGTTTTTTAAACCAAAGGTACAGAAATTTTTATTCTCTTTGAAGGAATTTGTATGGATATACTCCATTGGATGTTGCTAAAACTCGAGAAGTGAGAGATTTTCTTGAAAGATGTTTTCAGAAGGCTCCTGTAACAACATATGAAAATAATTTGATGGTAAGAATGTTTAAAGACAAGAAAGAAGAATGTAATTATAAGTGCTTTGACTGCTTTTAAAGTAA